TGAAGATCGGATGGCCAAAAAGAATAAGCAACAAGGAATTCTGTGAACTAACCGACCAAGAACTTATCACCCAGAAAATATGCAGAAGAAAGTATAGATAGATGGGAATACACTGAGAAGGCCGTCTGGGTAAATCACACTCCAGGCCAGGCTGTCGAGAAGAATTCAAGGGGGAAAGGACTAGTCGGGCGTACGAGGATGACATGAAGGAGTTCATGTGAGGAAGTAATGAAAGCTTATGGGCATTCGTGTAGCCAGGTTGAAAAGACTGCAGAGAAGAGAGTGCAATGGAGGTATGCTACTGAAGCCCTATGTTCCACTAGGAACTCAAGGGAAAATAATAATAATAATAATAAGCACAACTGTCAATGGAATAGGAATCCTGTACAGCAAGCAGTTTACATAGGATATGTTCACGTCTAACACTAAAGTTTATGGCCTGACATTTTGAAGAATTAAGCGCAAGACCACTCATGAAGCATCATCGTCTAACAGTAGATAGGAACAATCTGCTGAAGAGGAGATAGGTATGGAAACTGTTAGGTCATCCGCATATTTGGTGAAGCTGATACCAGCCGAAGATGGTAAGTTATGCAGAAAGAAAGAGAAAAAGCAAAGGGAAAGAATGGCTCCTTGGGAAACACCAATCGCACTAGGCAATGAGGTGAAGCGCTTCCCTCTGTGAACATCGTATTGTTTCCCATCAGAGAAATAGGAATGCAATTAGCTGATTATTCAGGACTCAGTATTTTTCCAGGTTAGCTTGTTCAGCAGAAGAGATCTTAGGACAGAATCAAATGCTTAAGTATAGTCTTAAAAGGCACACCTGATGTACCTGGTATTTTTATCAAGCAGTATTGTGATATGAGAGGATGGTGGCATCCAAAGTGCTTCTTTCGCTCATATATACAGGTTGATTAGGGTATCCAAAAGCCTTCAGTGGGGGCTCAAGCACAGGTATTATTAGCTTCTCCATTATTTTTAAGAACGGAGAGGTAACTGCAGTCGGACGGACGTGCGTCTGGATCCTTGACTTAGGTACGGGGACTATCTTAATATAGTTCTAGACAGCTGGTATAGTGTTTTCTATAAACTATCTGTTAAACATGTTAGCTAGTGGATAGCATAAAATATCAGTACAATTCGTGAATACAAAGCTTGACACACTATCTGGACCTGAACTGTGCGAAGAGTTCAGGGATTCGAGACATTTGATAACATCTTTCTCGCTGAACTCTGGACAACGTTCTTAATTTGAAATATGCAGACAAAGTGGGTTGATGTATAAATGATTTATTTTCCAAAGCTCAGACGTCAACATGTGCCTCTTTACTAAGGTGTTTACTACCAGTAAGTTCTTTAAACGTTTCCACATGCTGGAAGAGTCTTTGCATGACTAAAGTTTACGGTACTATAGTAGACCCGGAAGTTTGATTTCCAACCTAATTAAGACGTTCAATCGATGAGCGCCAGGATTATCACTTACTTTATATAGTCTTTCTTTTCCTCTTAGTTTCTTCACCAGGGGACAAGATATGCGATCAAAGCGTTGAAAAAGCTTTTCCCTAGGGCAACAGACATCTAGGTAGAACTTGAGATAGCATGTCACACCATCAATAGTGTCGTGCAAACATCGCATTCAAATATATTCCAGTCTGTACATTGTAGCATTTTTCTCAGATTAAGTAGGTTACTATGCGAATAGTTTTTATGTACAATCTTCTTATATGTGACTGCTGCTTTGTGTAGCTTGCCATATATTTTGGGCAAAAACTCGTATAATGTAATTATCTGAGCTGAGCAGTGGGTATCTGTTTAGAGTTTTGTATATATCAGTATCATTGACGAATACCAACTCTAGCGTTGTATCCTGACGTGTTGTGAAGTTGACAATGTTTTGATGACCAAGAGTTTTGAGAAAATTTTGGTCACAAGGATTGAAACCACCAGATATTACTGACAGGGAACCACAAAGTATAGGGGCTGCGAACCTCTTGAATATATTAGAGAATTTGAGAAGTTCGGAGTAACTAAAACCAGGCGTCACATAAATATTTGTAGTATCAATGAAGCGATACTTGTCCAAATGTTTTGAGCGGCCTTTAACAGTGATGCAATCAATCCATGTAATCATTTGAGGACTCAAAATGCACCACCTCCACTCCTCTTAGTGAAGCTACATCGATCTTGAAGGAAAATTTTGAAACCATTCAGGAAAACCAAATTGTCATCATAAAGATCAAGTAACCAAGTTTCTTGCGGTGTAATTACTCCAGTATTACGGTATATATCGGAGGATATAAGAAACTATAAGTAATCCACTTTTCCCTGTAGTGATGTGCAGCTCGTGCTTATGATTTCAGGTAGAGTCATTTGAGATAAGGTAATTCTGTTCAAAGCACGTTGTCTTCCGGCGTGATGTTTTTTCCTCATCTTATTTGATACTGACATTGTAGAAGGCCATAAACGCTTTAAAAATGTTCATGGATATATAATGCGATCAGAGGACATAATAGAATGATTAAAACGAACAAATGTGTAGAAAAATTTGATACAATATATCAGATGGAAAATTAAGATAGCTCAGATATTCAGGCGGGCTGCTTATTTAGATGACAACAAACAAAGTAGTTGTGAACGCTGGTGAGTTTTGTAAACAAATGAATCATTAACAATATTAATCTTGACATTGATACTGGGTGATAATTGAAGGTGAGGTGAGAATTTGGACCCCAACGGGACTCGAACTAGCGAACAACACCACAACTCATTCCCACTGCTGGTATCATCGATCATGTATAAGTCAACATACTAAATATTCAGCTTCCAAATAGTGACTATGAATTCGTATTTTTATTATTAGATTGTTTTTCTTGGATTTCATGGTTATTCGTAGTTAAAGCAAAAACTTTATGTGTATACTGTTTACTATTATTATTTTGCTGGTCATAAAATCTCCTAGTTTTAAAGGTAACAACTACTTGTTACAATTACTGTTGCCAATTTATTTCAGCAGACCATTTAGTTCCCAAGTTAAGTGTATCAGAAGTGCTTGATTTCGTGTCACAGCTATTAGGTGCTTTTGGATATTTCTGACCAACGCACACTGTATTTTATCGAATCATGAGCTGTTTCGTTTCTCCGTTTTCTAAAATGGACTCTAACGTAGGTAATTGTTACGATAAGTCCCGAACGTCTGTCTCATGGGTAAGTAATCAAGTAAACAAAGTGTATTTTAACAAAAAGCAAACAAAATTACTTGAATATAAGATCTTACAGCCAATCATTTTGTTTCCTATGATTTATCAGTTCGATATTCCGCTCATAAGAAAATAAGATTATAAGTAGGTGTTAATATATTGTTGTTGTAATTGTAAACTGCACTGAGAAATGTTTAAGTGACTCACAATAATCCGTATGTTGATAATTGATATAAATGAACATGCAGAGTATTTTGAAGAAGTACCAGTTCTCAAGGTTTACAGCTAGTAGTCAGCTTAGACTACAAACTGGATGAGTAAAGAAATGTATAGACAGTGTGGTATCCTTGATATACTAATTAATAATTTAAGAAGTGGAGTCATCACTGACTTCATGGAGAGGAAGGTTGTAGCATAACCATTAAAATAAATCAGAGATGAAACCACACAAATTAGAATAAGTTACAGCAAATAATATACAATCACATTGATTGGTGACTGGAGGGTAACCAACTTCATGTTGTCTAGTCCAAAGTCCTGGTCGAATTCTATCAATCATTTTGCAATAAGGCCACCGGATAAGCCTTGCTGACGAATGCCAAAAAACATGAAACCTAGGTTCAAGACTTCTTGCTGATTGCTTCCATCTAATAAACGATGTAAATAAAATTACTTCTCCATATTCCTACCTCCACCGTTCTTCAAAAGATGTTCCATCAAAGTTTTCAGTCCAATAACGAACTAGGCGTCTTTAGTTTAAAAAAAAAGCCAATTGGACTATATTGTGTTTAAAAAGGTAATAAATCCGTCCAACGAGCATCTTAATGGTGATATGCTTAAGTACCAACCCAGTAAATTTTGGAACATATTGGTTTGTTTGTTGTTTATAACCCATTTTTCCTGCTCATTCTTTACCTTTTACTCACAGACAAATAGAAAAACAAATACACCTATAGGTTAATGTGCATCAATTTGATAGCGCTAGACTCAGCAACCTAACTGTTGAGTTATACATTTAAAAACGTTCAGTCTATCTACCAAGCTTTTTCGAAAAATTGTTAACAGCTTAAGACATATGTATCTATACGTTTTAACAAATAAGTGAAATAAACTAAGACATAATTGGTTAGCATATGCTTTGTTAAACAAACTGTTAAGTGAAGATAAAGGAGTGAACGGAACCAACATGAATAATGATGATAAGCAACATTTAAACAAATATATCTGCTGGGAATTTAAAAGGTTTTAGAGAGTAGTAGAGACCTTACAAATGACTGGATGATATGTTCTAAATATTATCCAACAATAACGAAAATAAATGTAATTCACAAGTAGAGTAATTAATATTTTTCAAGTTTCGAAAAGAATTTTGATTCATACAGAAGTAAATTTGAAAATGATATGACCAACAAAGATTTTTCTTCGAAATGCTGGGAAAAATAACCAACAGTACCTTTGAAAAAGGTGAAATAATTCAAACAAAATCTAACCTGATAAATATTTCAGGTTTACAATCGATTTATAGGGATAATAGTCATAATCAATATACGCTTTTAGGTGTTGAAAACTAAATAAGTAAATAAAAGATATAGACATATAAATGTGAGAAATGATATCGAACGCAACTGCTTATATTGTTTCTTGTTATCTGTTTAAAAATGTACAATGTATGGAAAAAACAGTATTGATAAAAAAAAAACTTATGCAGAAAAGATATTATCTTTTCATTTTCTGACTTTCTTTATTGATACTCTGTTTTGTTGGTGTGATTAAAGCGGAAAGCGATGAACAATGTCTATTTCATTTTGCAGTTTCATTTGTAGAAGGATAATTTGTATTCTGAGATTTTAAACTATTCAGAAGGTAATTTCTACCGGTAAATATCCATCCCTTGGCTTGTATACTTACAAGTTTAATGTAGAATATAAATGTGATCATTGTTATTAAAGTGTAGATGTACATGATTTGATCAAATTGTTGCTTTGTTAATAAATGAACTTAACAAAGAAAAATTAAAAAAAGAAGCAAATGTAAAAAGTCATTCAGATTAAGGGATTGAAGATTTTATAATATGAACTTGGAAAATATTACTAACAGACATCAGTAAAACAATAGGCCTGAATTAGTCACTTGGATGATTTTAATGCCTATTAATGCTGTTGAAGTAAGAAATGATAGACGCTGAGTTATGATTTATGCTATGATGTTCAAAGCAGTCAGGGTAATAGTTTTCGGGGTCTTGATGTTATGACTAAGGGTTAAAATTATCGTGCAACTTTCATACATTCCCATTAGGCTATTTCTTAGACCGAATTCAACGATAACAGATTAAGAGGATGATCATTACATAGAACACCATTTTGAATTTTGCGGACTCATTTGAATTTCAAGTATTCAGCATAAGCCTATGTAATTCTGGGTGGAATTCTTAACTAAAAATTGCTGACAAGTGGGAGAATAAGGCGTAGATGATTTTATATATATATATATATATATATATATATATATATATATGACATGTGCCAATACTTGATTGACTTTATCAGTATGAATCATACCAACTTCACATATAGTGAACAATTAAAACTCCATTCTCAAAGTTTGATGGTTAGGTTGTTCAGTTATCTTTGACATTGTAAAATCTTTTAGATAACACAAAAAAGTTAAAAACCAATGGCAAAACGCCAAATCCTCTAAGAAGTCAGTAGTAATTAGATATGCGAATGATGATAACCAACTTTGGAGAACAACTAGTCGAAATCGAAGTCATCGAAACATTCTTTGTAGTTTCTGTTATTGATACTATACAAAATCGCAATGAAAGATCTGTAATTAAACCATGTAGGACAACAACATAAAATGGTGAGAATTCCGCATCTCTGGATTTCTATCAGCTAACTAACTCAAGAGTATGTAAGATTCTGGTTGCGCTAGTATCGTTTGCTACGTAGCCAGCTTTACGTAAATCAATGTTCATCAGTACCAAACTAATCAGTGCCTTACCTAATTGTAAGTACTGATAAAAAAGATAAATTAGAAAACACTTTTTATGGTAAAAAGTGCTCAGATAAGCAGTTTATTAATTAATCAGAAGTAAAGAGGTTCTTTTAGGGGGAGAATGTTAATTTATCTGTCTATTCATGGTTAAACTAGGAACTGAGCTCGTTGCTGCCAACCAGCAGAAAGAGGATGCAAATATGGCGAATGCTAACTAGCGGATACCTGCACTCTAAAACAAACTTATAAAACTAAAGTAACCCTTTGACGCTGTAAACAATTATTGAACTATTATCCAGATATTTTGGATGCTTATTTATTTATTCTAAACTTGAGAGTATCTTGGTGCCAAGAAAATGTACTACCAATAAAAGGCTTAAAAGAAAACACTTGTTAAAATCAGAAGGAACAAATGATTTTAAGTATAGTCTTAGCATCCCCGGGTGTTTCAATGGTTTAACCTGAAATGAAAAGCTACATGAACTAAGTACAGCTGGTTACATTCAGCTAAACTATGGGGAGTAGTTAAATGACATGTTATTAAATTAAATATCATTTGAGAAATGAAATAATTACATAAATTTACATTAACATATTTGTATTTACCTGTTAAGGAACTCGATGCATAAACAAACGATATAAATTGTGATACGTAAATACCGTTGGGTTTGATCAACAATATGGCATAGAACATACTCAATGCTAAAGCTAAATCAGGTTTACAGAATAGAGAAAAAAACTTAAGATATTCGAGAAAAATAATTTTTGTTATATATAGTTGGCAGCTGGCCTAATACCAATCAACAAATTGCTGATTTCTCTTTATGGAAATCAAAAATGCACTAAGTTATACGTTTCATTACTAATACATTCAAAGTAATGAACAGTTTTGACTCTTTGAACACTAAGAACATAGTGCAATGGGAATAAAATGTTTGAAAGTGTAAGGATTTCCATATCTTGAACTGAAGTACATTTCAGGTAAAGTGTGGTAGATTAAATGAATTCTCTACAGATAATGCTACCCTAAATCAAATGAAATCGATTCTTAACACAGTATGATATTTCAAGGACAAATATATAAACAGAAACTCTAAGTGAGGTAACTTCTGATCTCATTCAAATCTAGCTTGAAACTGAAACCTTTGGCGCTATTATTATTATCATTGTTAGTAGTAGTAGTCTAAGTGGTTCTGCTTGACTGTGTTCGAGGGAGTTCTCCTGCAACTGAATGTCTGTTACGGTAAAATATATGTCGAACCTTGGTATCCACGACTAAGTATAAAGAATATAGGTTCCCTGGTGTTATTCAGTCAATACCAGTATAGTAGAATCATCAAAACAGGTTCAATTGAAATAGGATTTGTACTGTAACTGATTGGTTATCTCCGATACCACAAGCTCTAGCTAATATCTGCTTTCAATCCAATTTGTTGGAATTAGAAGTGGATTTCACCATTTTTCATTGAATGATGGCCGAACCAAAATTTTAGTTGACCAAAGAAAAAAGTCCTAACAGCTGCATCTCACTCAGTATTTCAGTGACAAAACATCCCTTAGAAGATATAATGATCACGAGTTTGCCCTATGAAGAGATCTACGGGGGATAAATCCAAGACTAAGTACAAAAAGGCATCTTTTTGTTTTTTTCTTCCTTTCCCGAATTTTCGCTCGGTGACGAAAAACGTCTTGAAACTAAACAACAGGATAGACATCATCTGTATAGATGATACGAAAATAAGACGAAACCAAGCTGTTAACGGGAAATCTGACACAGAACAGGTACCTGTTGAAAATTATTAACAGGCACACATTTAATTTTTATTCCATTAGCAAAATGCTTGTATTTCATTGACGCTTAGGTGTGATTAACACTGTCTTACGTGAGAAGAAGGCGTATATCAGCCATTTTTAAAACTTACTACACAGCTAAGATCGTCATTATAGAGAAGACAAGGTCCACATTACAATACAGAACAAAACACAAACGACTACTTTACATCCCATTGTGTTAATCAGTTTACATGAATATGTGGACCCACAAACATAAGAAGACGTAATCGTCATATGCGGTTGAAGGTGGTTGAATACGCATCTAAGTAGCTTCAGAAAAGAGTGCTTAAATTTATCGAAGCTCTTGTACTCAAAAAATTTATACTGACTCTTAGCTTTCCCTGATATTATTGACTTCAACTTTCATACCATGGGTGATGTGATCCGGACATTTCGTTTATCTTTTGCCTCACTACTCTTATTTTAGATTTTAACTTAGCTGAGCTTCGCATCAACATTTTGACAGGCTCACCTATGATCAGACTGTTCGTAATGTATAGTGCTCATAAGTTACGTATTTTAAATAATCTCCGTCTTCTCATTATGCTGTCCAAGTTCATCAAGGTAACTATGGACAGCATATATTTGTGTTTATTTTCGTGACACTTGAATGCATATATACAAGATATATTTCATCTTCACCTGCAACAAATATCAATCCATACCATTAATCATGACACTGTCAGTGTACATATAGTTAATTCATTACAAAAGTTCCCCATTATACCTATTTTCACCAACTTCAAAAAATTATATTTTTAGTTACTATTTTAGACGCGAGTTAGCAAATGACAGATTCGCTGTTAGTGAGGCTATAGAGGAAAAGCAAGGATATGCGATTCACTTGAAAGGGAGAAGACTGGAGTGATGGGGAGAACATTTCGAGGGACAGTTTAACTGGCTTCCAGCCACCATTGCATTGCTGGCTATCTAGTCGGACCTTGAAGGAAACATTGAGATAGGCCTCCAAACACTTGCAGAAGTCAAGAAAGTGGTAGGCAACCTGAGATGAGGAAGGGCAGAAAGACCAGACAAACTAACTCCTGAGGTATACAATGGATAGTGGTAGAGTACTCTTAGTCAGGTTAACGGAAGTATTAACTAGTATATGACGATTATATACGATCCCCTCTGACTAGTCTAAATCACTGGTTATTCTAGTTTTCAAAAAAGACGAGAAGTCCTCTTGTGATAACCACAGAGGCATTCGCGTGACGAAAATAGTGTCTAAGATCCTAGGTTCTATAATTCTTTGACACCTGAGTGGAGCTAGGAAACAGCAGGCCGAGAAAACCAGGCAGGAATTAGGCCCGGCCGCGGGTGTATCGACCAAATATTCACACTGCCAGGTTAGGGAACACAGAAAGGCTTACCGACGCCCAAAGAAAGCTGTATTTTTCGACCTGAAGGCGGTATTTGACTCCGTTGATCGAGACGTCGTATGGCAATGCTTCTCACTGAAAGGTGTGCTGAGTAAGTATATTGCTTTATTGAAGGCTGTCTACTCGAACACTTGTGAGGGTGATAGAGCCTACGGTGAGATATCCGAGAGCTGTGCTCATCGAGTGGTGTGCGTCAGTTGCGCTCACTGTCTTCATTCTTATTCAATTCTATCATAGATATGCTTATGGAAGTCTCCTTCTCGTCACCTGACTATACAGACGTTGACCTAACCGCAGGAGGATTTTCGTTAGCCCTAGAATACGCAGATGACATAATAATGTCCAGTTAAGACGCTGACAAGATAGAGAGTATTTTTAACAATTTGAGTGGCAATTTAGGAAGGTTTGGGATGCGTTTCTCACCACCCAAACGCAAATTGTTGCTCCACGATTGGTCTCAAACAATACCCCACAACGGATAACAATACACAGTGTAGTGATTGAGTGTGTCTACCACTTCACTCACCTAGGAAGTAGGATCAGCACTCGTCACTCAGTCACCCATGAAATCCCTGCACAAATACAAAACGCTCCGCTGGCTGGCTGGCTGGCTGGCTTTTGCCACCTATCACCACATGTGCCAACACCGTGATATACGATTGTCTATTAACGGTCACCTGTACTGCACAGCACCCCACCCTCTCCTACTGTACGGCTGTGAAACATGGCCATTGAAGATGGAGGACATGAGAAGACCTCAGGTGTTTGACCACCGTTGCCCTCGTAATATAGGCTGTGTTGGATGGTGCCACCAGGTGAGTAATGCAGAAGTCAGGTGTAGAGTTTTAGGGAGAAGAGGTTAGTCAGTTGGTGTGGTTGTGAATCTTCGTCGACTGAGATGGTTGGAACACGTGTTATGTACACCTAGTCGCCGATTGCCTCTTCACACAATGTCGGCCGAAGTAGGTTCAGACTGGAAGAAGGCTGGAGTGACTGTCAGACCAAAAGATGACACCAATGTATGAAGTCTTTGACTGCTGATTTGAGCCATGTGGGACGAAGCAGACTGGGTGATTGGGGTCTGTGGGATAAGAGGAACCAGTTGCTGTAGAGTGACTCTAGGTGATGTGGCTCAGAAGTGACGTCAGTGGCGCAGATGTATACACACATTATCCTCATCTTAATGACACTATACCAAATCTCTCCATTTTCTCATTCTTCCTCTCTCCAACTCTCTCTCTCTCTCTCTTTGAGTACTTTGTATTTCTTCTGACTGAATTTTCTTTTCTTCATCTTCTGCCTTCATGTTTTTTACTTGATGTGGTGATATGAGATAAGCTGTGGCAACTCGGTCCGTTACGCACTAATGCCTGGTCTTATGTGGATTTGGATTGATGGATAGAAGTGATAAATTCGCTATAAAAGCATATTTTGGTGCATAAAAGAGTAAATGCATTTAAAAGCAGAGAAGAGTCGACCGATTATGTCTGGTGGACAACAATGCAAGCGTATTACAGGCTTATCCTTCAAAGTGCATGACATAAATGACCAGTATGAATTCGAAATTGTTAACTGCTATGTTCCTGCAAAAAAATATCTTCTAAAAGGCATCCTATACATTTCTTAGAAGATTTATCAAAGCTTACATCTTTTTTATTGTACTTCCTTACTGACACTAAAAAAAGTTGTAGACAGACATTCAGCAAGAATCATAAGTTTTCATGTTCTCTTCTCAGTGATGAAATAAGTCACTGTAGACAAAAAGTTATATATGAAATGAAAGCCTTCATAATAACTTTGATGTCGTGGAGTATTTATATGATGCTAAATGATGTTAAAATGATAATACTTCAGGGATTGTGTGCTTAGTGAACTGTTGGTAAAAATAAGGTTGGAAAGACATCTGAATGAACAGAAATAATAGGTGTGCATGACAGAATGATGCGACAGTCGTCGACCGCTGCCCTAGGAATTTATTTTTCTTGCTATCGGATACCTCCCATTGTGGTCAAGCAAAGTTGCCATAAAGACCATTAATAGGTCCGTATTAGCACATTATTTTCGAACGGTTTATAAGGCGGATGTGAGTGAGTTGTTTCTATGGTATATTGGGTTCACATCTTGTTGTCATGATATTATGGCCATGTGTGAGGTCTGAAGAGAGTTGTGTGCTGTTTGCATGCACTCAGCCCTGTTTATGTCTTTACCATTTTACTCCGTCTAAGCGATCCGATTTGGCTTGTCATTCACGAGTTTTTCTACTTGCCGGCATCCAGCTTCGTGCAGGACTGCATGTAAGCTGGTCCTGCAGTGATAAATCCAGGCTACATTGTTGACCTAGCAGTTCATGCGTGGAGAAATCGGTGTGGCATATTATAGAAGTGTATATGACCTATATATTGTCAGACTGTTTAAGTAGTAGCAATCAGAATTAAACAAGGCCTGTTATATACCCAAGAAAAACGTGTGTTGCCACTACAACTAACTCATTTAAGATTATTAATTCCTAACGGTCCTGATACATGTAACCTAATTTTCAAATTGTCTATCTTTGTTCATCACATTCTATTTTTTCACGCACATTTACCAACTGCTTTGCTGATTTGCATATCTTTTAAACTATCATGGGAATTCGCATATGCTAGTAGGAGATATTATAGTAATTAGTTAGTATTACTACGTCATATGAATGAACTTTAAGCGAATCAAAAATTGAAGGAATGTAAGATAACTCGAAAATGTGAATGTAAAACTTTTTATATCAGCAAGTATTACTGAATTATACAATTTTATCTTTTTCTCCTAATATAACTGAGAACTTCAGATATTTATCAACATCCAAGTCAATGATAGTACGAATAATATAGTAGAAATATTAATTTTCAATTTACTTTAAAACTAATAGTAATTCATCAATGATTACATAATAACTAACGATAAACGATAAGACTGAAATACTTAAAAATGCAACTTACTTATATGTAAACATCCAAAGTTTTTAAAGACGAATTGTGTATTATATGGCCTTTGTATACCACAGAATTCAAGGGAATTCAAATTGTCATGGATATCTGAGATTGGAAATAGTCTTTGAATAAACCAGTCATTATAAGATGTAGGGGATCCTACTAACTATATTAAAGAAGAAACGGGAAGTATGAACTAAACACAGATATTGTTAAGTTTAAATAGGAAGTAGAAATTTAGGCAATAAGAACTATTGCCACATTATGTCATATTAGCTTACATAGACGTATTTATAAAAGTAACCAAAAAGTTGGAGGTATTCAATTCTCGAACAAATGTTTAAAATCCCCCTAGTTTATAATTTAGGAACATGTCGGATAGGTTACATTTTACAAATGATCTCGTTCTATGTTTTGCTGTATCTGATGTACTGAGATTAATATTAAAACATACTGTATAGCGTTGAACTGCATAAAAGTCAGTGGTTTTTGTTAACCAGACAGTAATTAATTTATACCTTTGTATTTGTTTCTCTTTGAATGGTTCTAACTCTTTAATTTTAAGTCTATGGCTCATTTTTCTTTTCTTATGTTCATACTGAAACATTTTTGAAGTAGAGATGTTAATGACATTTGTGTACTCTGGGTCCTATGAATTGAACGGTTTCGTTACGAAACTTTCATGCTTGTTATTGAAAGCCTACAGAGTGCGAAGTTTGGAAGAAGCATACTTTTAAAGTTCTTCAGATCACAGCACAGTTATATGCGCCAAACCACCTGCACGTTTTTGATTATTTTGACAGTATAAATCAATGTATTGGGTTAAATATTTACCCATTTTATCTTCAAATTTACAAACACTAATGAACGTTAGATCACGTGATGTACTACTCAGTACACTAACTGAAGACATGGTTTCGAACAAGGCAAGTAAGAGACCAAAACCACAAATAGTCTGTGCACACCAGATAATTTCCAGATGTTTCGGACCCAGGCAGAATAGATATTAAGAGATATACTGCCGCAAATCTACTGCTTCAAATATTAGTAGTATATGGACGACAAGGTTATTAGAAAATTTTGTGTATTCACGGATGTTACAATATGTCTCTAAACCACTTACGAGGAATGAAACCTTTTTCTTTTCAAGTTAGCGCTAAATATGGGTTTTTCAAAGAACAGCAATGAAAGCTTTAAAATTAAGTCACACAGATCTAAGCACAGGAAACCACAGAAAAGTATACAAATTTCAGTTACAAGCTTTTTTCTAGTTCGCATGTCACGAAACTTATTATTTACCGAATAATGTAGGTGATTTTTCACTTTTATTCAGTAACTTATTAAAATGATGAATAACACAATTTCCTTGCCAATTTTTACCATGAAAACTTAGTTATGTTTTAATAACAAATAGATAAAACTTAAATACCTAGCCTTATTTGTTATTTAAACCTTAAAAAGCAATCAAATAGCTTTAACAAATAAGACGAATTAGTTTTATCACGGATGCTTTCATAAGTCATGTACACGATAAGCGTTTCATGTTGTGGTAAAATTTATGTAGCAGAAAGCAGTGGACCTAGTGACTGTTAAACGTTAAGTAGAAAAACAATAAATATTATTAAAATTTTCACCTGTACGGTCTCTGTGTTGAATTCTAAATCGATTCCTAACAAAAAGATCATATCAAGGTGTACTGGGTTATTATTTATTTTATTTATGTGATCTAAACTCAGTAAAATGTGAGCCTCTAGGATTCTGCCCCATAAAACAAATTTTATTGACATAAAGGTACAAAAAGATTAACTTAAGAGTTAAGAAGGTAGTCAGAGAAGAAAACGTTGTCTCAGAAGATACATTCATGAAACTTTCATCAGTTTATTATTACTTGTAGAAAGTAGAGAGCGCAATGAATTTACAAAATGGCTGGTCATGGCTTTCATTCTGAGCCATTTTTCATGTATACATTAGCTACTGATTAGCATAATCTGTTGAACGCCTTCTGGAAAGTAATGACGCACCAATAAATGTGATGCTCATAAAATGATCTTATTTGCCTAGTCACCTCTCCGTTTCTTTCACTCAGCCGTAGAGACATTTGATGGTGCCCATTGCAAATGTCAGCTAACCAGCAAAAATATTTGTCCACACCAATGAATTTGGTATTGCATAATAACACAATCTATTAAAAGATTACATAAACTGTGATTAAATTTGTACTGAATTTTGCTTATAAATACCGTATAGGGAGCGAATGTGTTGAAATGTAACGTGCTGAGAATTCAATACTGTATCATGCATGTGGCATGGAATAAAGCTATCATCTTTGGGTTTCAAATCAGATATCTGAGAATTGTTGGAATAGCCTTTTCACTGGATATGAGTCATCATACAGAGGCAGTTATCGTGGAACGTAGCTCAAGAAAGCTAGGTGTTAAAGGTGTACATTGGAACTAACTGCAGCAAAGCTAAGTACTTCTAGCGTCTTATCACTAGGAAATTGTTTCTAAGTTGGCTGAGGTAACCGAGATACGGAATGCGAAATCCCTTTTAGTACCACTTGACTACTTGACAGAAACACGAGCTTACAATTTGTGAACTACCACTGCATTTACAGCTATTTATACTGAACAAAACTACTCAGTAATGTGGAGATGTAAGTTTCCTGAAAGTGAAGTTTTCCAAAGTTGACTGATCTGTATTGAGTGATCTGTTTAGGTTTCCTAAAACTATGTGTTCGCATACTCGTTATTGAAACTGTCTTCTTTTTTAATTAATCACATTTTCCTGATACTAACAAGTGATTTACTTACATGTAAAAATATTCTTAAGTCAGTCCCAAAGATTTCAAGAAAGGAAATATTCAGATTTAGAGCAGCTTAGAAAGATACAGTTCTTTCGCATCACAGATGACAGTAGTATCTAAGACGCCTAAACGGAACCTTTGCAATAACTCTAGTTTGTGTATGGATACAAATTCACTTTTATAATCCTGAGTTAGCTGCGTATAAATGGCTAAGCATGCTACTGTGGCTCACAAATTAATGGGGTGGGTGACTCAAGGCTCAATTGAATTGATGAGCAAATAATTTATGTTTTTTCTAATATTGTAATTATTTTGGGGCAAGAATGAAAATAAGCGGTGACTCAAATAAAAGGGAGTGACCAAGAAAACATAAGTAAATCGTAATATATAAAATATAGCCTTCTGGTTGGCTGTCTGCGTAAAATTTTGGGCTACCAAAAATTCTCTATCGTCTGCATACTTTTAATTAGTCAAAGGTCAATAAGCCGTAAAAACTAATCTTGTGCATTCTGAAGCCGTGCGCAGATTTGACACCTATATTAATAATTTTTAAACTGTCTCCAACCTGTCGTCAACAGTAACAACAACAAGACTACAAGAAAGTATCGCAGTAGGTGGCAATGGGCTACTGAGTGCACAAGAGTTCATCACATAGATGTTACAAAAATAGTTAGCAGGAATGGTTGATTTAAGTGAACTTGGTGCTCGCTGGTTTGAATCCCACTACTGCCTAGATTTTAATTTCACCTTCAATCATCATTCAGTATTAATATTAGTTTGCTAAACCATAGCTGTTTCCGACAGTCAAAGTGAAAACCATTATTTCAGGTATGATATATTCAACTAAATTTCTATCAAATTTAGACACTTTTGCACACAACCATTTCAAGAACGCATCAGGTTTCTTTCTTTGAATTTATTTCCAGATGATATTGAGCTCAATGATAAAATGCCTACCACTAGCTCACAATCGGACAATATTTCAACTCGAATACTATTTCATCTTCGAATCGAATTATAGTCTAAGTATTTAATTATCAACTTGCTTATTTTATGTGTAATTTCATCTTCCCTAACCCCCCTTAGATAATTATCTTCATCACTCTTATTGCCTGTATGATAATTCTCCTCTATTTTCACAGTTGTTTTAAGAAAATGATTTCGTGTATTCAGACAAAGGTTTCCTCTTTGTCTCTCTTAGGTGCACGTATCCAAACAGCGGACAATTGTATACATTATTTTATTGACTGTTGATATTTAAGGACAAAATTTGCAGGGTTTTCCCAATGCTTTACACACTTTTATGATACAATACAGCGTGAAATGAATGAATATCAAAGCGATGGTGTGTGAGAAGACTACCTAGATACTCATAAGAAGCCCTAAATCCCTGAAACCTTTCATAGTTTATCGCGTTGCACCGAAGTCTCGAGGAAATGCACGTGAGCCTGTGTGTAGATATTAGATATGTTGTAGAAGCAAAATCAATAAGATAAGCCGATTAAAAAAAGACTTATAAATGGTCAAGGCTGTTGTATTTTGTGCAAATTTTGACGCTGCAATACACTTTTTATCTTACCACTTTTCCAGTTTTCGTAGTAACTAAGTAGTCATCGAGAGTGGGGTCTGAAGGCTATTGTTCAAGTATCCACTTATATATCCTCAATCATATCAACTAGCTGGATAACTTTTCATAAGAGTACAAACACTTGTTCAAAAATAAATTCACCAATCACTATCATCCTAATAGGAAACATTTTTGTTAATGATGAAGTTGATATATCAATAAGTAAACACTCGGTATTTTACTGTAATATTAGTGAATCTATGACCCACTTATACAAAGCATATACAAAACAGATTTGTTCATGAATAACATAACGACAAAATGGGGTTTATATTCTCATCTATTACTGGTTGAATATAATAAGTAATTTAGGTAATATTATGGATGTAATCGACTGAAGTGATCAGCAAACCATTCGTTGGACAAAATAAAAGCCATTCTAGCAACAATATAAAGATACAAACTGTTATGTTTTACATTTCATTGCTAAACACCATGTTGCCAAAGCCTATTTCACACTGAATCAAATGCTTGGAAAAACAACAATTCACTATTAAACTAAGGATAAATTCAGATTTGCATGAAATTAAAGCTGTGGCATTCTTCAGTTATGATAATCAGGAGCCTTTACCATAAATAGAGTATTTTAATTAACATCCTACAGAGTAAAAACCTCATAATAAACCTAAGTACCGAATTAAGGAATAAAAGTTCATTGTAATCACCATCTAGGGCTCCAAATTTTATGAAAAACCCCGAACATAAAGCTTCATCAAAGATTCATAATACACCT